TGTCACTTTTGGGGGGATTTAAGTATCCCCCGATTTTTTAAAAAAACTTTTTAGATTTTTGTGCACACCTGGGGACCGCCCCACGTGTGCACAAAACTCTCCCTCCCCCCCCCAAGTGCCCCCTCTGTGCTGATTTAGATATCCGCACAGAGGGGCTACTTCGGTATTAGATATATAGATTAAGGTTGGGGAGGGTCTGTGGCTCAGTGGAACAGTCTCCACTTTGCATGCAGAAGGTCCCAGGTTCAATTCCCAGTATCAGTTAAAAGGACCAGGTAGTAGGTGATGTGAAAGACCTCTGCCTGAGACCTTGGAGAGCCACTGCCAGTCTGAGTAGACAATACTGACCGCGATGGACCAAAGGTCTGGTTCAGTATAAAGCTGCGTCATGTGTGTTGGTGTGTGTGCGTGTGTACAAGCAGGACGTACAATCTGCCCGCTGTAACTTGTGAACTACCGCGGAAAGCTTACAGCTGGTGAAGAAAGCCCACACGCAATGGCCAAAGTTGGCAAGTCCAAGGACTACAGTCACCGGTGGGTTTTGCCGGAAACAAAATTCTGAGATAGGCATCTGAGGACTTCCAAGGAAGCCACCGAAATTCGAATAAGACTCACGAAATTTCACAGTGGATTCCACGAATTCTAATGTGGGGAACAAAACAGCTGCCCTTGCTGGAACTCTCCCTTCCGTGCAACTGCTCAAGGTACAGGGGCTTCCTTTTATGGGGCTGGGATCATGGGCAGGTGTCCAGTTTGTGGTGTCAGGCTTGGGATACATGTGTGCCTGCCAAGCAGGGGTCTTGTTGTAGAAAAAGAGCTGCCGGAGCTCATTAGCATAACTCATTATCATAACTTATTTGCATATGCCACGCCCCCTGACATCACCGGAAGTGACAGAAGGCCACACCCCCTGACATCACCGGAAGTGTGTCAGAAGGCCCGGCTACTTACCCTCCTGCTTCATCCTCATTCCCAAACGGAATGAGGATCGAAGCAGAGGGCGGGGTAAAGAAGGGGGCGGGGCTTCACCACGTGACCGCCCCGCTCCCTAGAGGTTCTCTTCCGGAGCTCCGTACCTGAGAGCTCCCCCCCGGACACTGTGTGCCTGCCAAGGTTTATAACCGATCCAATCAACAGTAACCATTCCAATCACCGACCTAAGCAAAGTCATTCATCTTCACTAACGAAACTGCTGGCACTGACTAGCAGGTGTGGCTAGCGACCGTTAACGTTGTTTTCTTTGATTTCACTGCAGGAAAACGTGTGGCATCAGGTTGTATCTAGCCAGCTTTTCCGCTGCTGAAAAAGGGAGACGGGATCCCTTCTGACCACTAAAGAAGGAGATGCTGGGAATCATGGGACTTTCATGTACAAAGGCCATCTAGGACAGAGAGAGTAGTATGGGGGGGAACTGGGTGAGATTGAGCGAAAAAGTTTGGCTGGGGCCAGCCAATCCTCGGAACCCATTTGACAGGGATAAAGCACACACGTAAACTGTGCGTCAATGCCACAAAATGGGCTACAAGTGTAATAAAAAATAAGGGGATGGATCCCGTGGATCCAGTCGGCTAACAGTGGCACATGGAGTCTGCTGCCAGTACAGGAGTGTCTTCTATGGAAGACGCTCATGCATCAATGGAAGGTTTCTTGCTCTCAAAGACAGCATCACCGTTGTTGGAATGAATCCACAGTTTCAACCCACAGTATTCAAAAGTAGGGGCATCGGAAATGATTCATGCCCGGTGTGGCATTTGGGGTCTCACAAACCCCTGCTCCTTTCCAGGTCACCCTGCCTTGGGCCTTTTTTAAAACGGAGAACTACAGTATATCCACCTATTAAATAAATAAATACACACGACTGCGGATGAGCCTCCGGTTGTAAGTAAACACACTTGGCATTCGAGCCCTGTGCCTTGGCTGCCGTCCAGTAGCTTTTGGTTTTCAAAGAGACAATTAAAGGCCAGGAGCAACAAGCTGAGTTTACATTATTCTTAAGGAACTGAAATCTATCAACTTCCATCTCACCTTCCTGAGCCACTAAAGCACACTTCTGTATGTTTTTACGGAAACAAATGATGGGAACGGGGAAAAAAAACACCACAGTGCTCAGGAGGATAAACTGATCACTGGAACTAATGCTACTTGGGTGAGAACTTTCTCTTCTCCTTCCTTTTCTTCTTTTTTTTTAAAAAAAATGAGAATGGGATTTAGGGAATAAGGAATTAATATACCTTCTCTATTCACTGCCTTGCGATAACAGCCCAATTCCCTGACAGTGCTTTGCGCGGCGGCAAGATCATGATTGGTAGCACATTCTCCAAAGCCATAAAATAAAATATTTTTTTACTATTTGAGACAGTAAAAGTCTACTTAAAACTTTAACTGATTCCATCTGCTATCAGCTTGGCGTGAAATCTCACGGCCGGCACAAATGTGCATTACTCATTTGTGTACGGAAATCGGAGCAAAAAAAAGAAAAAGGCGACTTTCAACTTTTGTAGCCATAGTTTGGGCTAAGCATGCAACAATGAGGGACCGCCTCTCCCCCATATGTCCCCCAGAAAGCTGGCCCTCCCCAGGACTGGCAGGCCCTCCTGAGTCTCCCGAGACCAGGCTAGCAACAACCAGGGCCAGGGCTTCCTCAGTGGCGGCTCCACTCTGGTGGAATGAGCTCCTGGAAGAGACCAGGGCCTGGCAGGACCTTTTACAGTTCCGCAGGGCCTGTAAAACCGAGCTCTTCCACCAGGCTTTTGGAGCTGCTGCCACTACTAGAAGAAGAAGAAGAGATTGGATTTATACCCCGCCCTTCACTACCCAAAGGTGTCTCAGAGCGGCCTACAAACTCCTTTCCCTCCCCCTCCCCACAACAGACACCTGAGGTAGGTGGGGCTGAGAGAGCTCTGACAGAAACTGCTCTTTTTCAAGGACAGCTCTGACAGAACTATGGCTTGCCCAAGGTCATCCAGCAGCCGCAAGTGGAGGAGTGGGGAATCAAACCCGGTTCTCACGGATGAGAGTCCGCGCACTTAACCACTACACCAAACTGGCTCTCGTACTAACAACTGGCAGCCTATGGTCGGAGAACCCTGTTTCCCCCTGGGACTTTAACTATAGCTTGCGCTAATGGCCTAAGACAATCTAAGAAGGCCAAGGAGCCGACTGCAAGATGGGAGAACTAAACAACAACAACCGCTGTGGAATCATTGCTGCCATTTTTTATTAGGTTTTACAGCTTCAGAAGTGTTATTTGTATTAATTGATGCGGTTTAAACTTTATTCTATATTATTGTAAATTTTATGTTGTTTTTATGTGAGCTGCCCTGAGCCGGGACAACAACAACCGCTGTGGAATCATCGCTGCCATTTTTTATTATGTTTTACAGTTTCAGAATTGTTATTTGTATTAATTGATGCTGTTTAAACTTTATTCTATATTATTGTAAATTTTGTGTTGTTTTTATGTGACCTGCCCTGAGCCGGCCTAGGCCGGGAGGACGGGGTAGAAATTTAATAAATTGAATTGATCAAATCAACGAACTAAGGACTAAACCAGGGGTCCCCAACACAGTGCCAATGGGGGGCATGGGGCCCACTGAAACCTTTCCCGCCAAATGTGTTTAGAAAGTGGGAGTGGCCGGATGGGGCTTTTGCCCAGCAAGGCTTTT